AGAGAAGAAGAAAGAGGGAGAGCAACCAAGGAGAAGCCACTTTTTGTCTCCTTGACTCTCGACCCTTGGTTTATTTCTATTTCATAACTGCTGAATTACAACTATGCCCCAGTAAGTGAAACTCATACAAAGGTAAGATGGTGAGCTGGAAAGAAAGACAAGAGTTCTCCCCAAACTAACTTTAACACATTGCTTAAAAACTCTTTGGTCATAACCAATAACTAGGGGACTGAAGGATCACTTTATATTAGACCTCTAATAGACATCACTAGATTATTCTTTTATAACTTATAATATGTTTAGTTTTGAGCGACAATGTGACTTTAGATCTGTCTAATGTAAAGTTATTGAACTTTTTCTTTTCTTTTTTATTTCTATTCATCTCATCATAAACATGTCTTTCTTTGCGACTCTTTATAACTGTACATAGTCTCGACTTTATATTGCTTTTCCACATTGTTTATTGTTTCATATTCATGCACCAATTCTAAATGTTGCCACTTATCTGTATTTCACTGGTTACCATTATTCGTTTTGGTTCTACCATTTTATGTTAGTGACATTTGTTTCAATTTTACCAGGGCTACTGCTTATAATTCATTGTCAGGATCAATTCCAGAGGAGCTTGGAACCCTTAAGGATCTAGTTGTTTTGTGAGATATCCCCATAACCTTTTCTCTAATGTAAACAATAACTGAGTATGAGTGTACACGTAACAAATCTAATGACAATGGAAAACCTTCATTACCTAATTATCTTGTTGGGTATCCCCATGTTCTTTTCTCTAAGATAAATAACATAAAATTTATTCAAAATTGGTATTTGACTAGAGTTTGATACATCCAGAATGAATATCAAGGTTTGATTTTGACTGGCCAAGCATGGGTTGGGTGGATTGACCCATATGTTATGCATCTAATTAAAGCTCCAAGCACCCTAGGGGCAAAAGAATTAATTAGCACTATTCTGTTGATACTATTATATGTATTTTTTTATCAGCAACCATGGAGTTTATTAATGAAAAAGATAATTCAATCATCTCTAAAATAAACCAAGGAGAGATAAAACCCCTTATTTCTCCCCACTTTCCTATCTTTTTGTTACAATTGAGCCCAAAGAAATTGCTCTCCCGATCCCTTGTTAGCTAATGTATCCACCAAGTTGTTGGCAATCTTTTTTACCAATTGGAATTTCACTTCCATGTCTTTAGTCAACCATCTAAATTGTTTCTTGTCATTTCTGAATTTCAACATCATCTCATTGCTTTGCAACCAATCCACCACCAACTTGCAATCACCTTCAATGATTATCCATTTAATATTTAGGCTTCTTGCTTTTTTACTCCTAGCATGCTAGGACTTCAGCTTTTAGAGAGTCACCGAAAGCAATCAGACTTGAATAGAGAGTAATTATATGACCCTTTCCAATTCTAAACACCCCACCTATTCCTGACAACCTTTGAATTGCCCATATTGCTGGCATCGAAATTCAGCTTAATGAATCCTTTTTCCAGTGGCAACCAAACAGGAATAATGGCATTCTTAGGTATAGAAGTCCCTGCAACTTCCCTCCAATTTTTATCCTTTTAATCTTGCTTTTTTTACTCCTTGCATGCTAGGACTTCGGCTCTTAGACAGTCTCCAAACATACTTGGATAGAGAGCAATTATATGAACCTTTCCATTTCTAATGAATCCTTTAGAGGAGTAAGTTTTCTAAACCCCTCATAGTAATTATCAAAATAATCAATAAAATTTTTAGTGGTCACCCCTCCATGAGAGTAAAGATTGGGAATATAAAACCTTCTAAGCTATGAAAATGAAAATTTACAATGATTAGAGAATTATCAGAATAAAAGCTAGAAAACTGTAATTAATTGCGACCATGTATATAACTGCGGCAACTAAATGCTAATATGATGTTGACTGGTTTCATATTTTATGCTGGTAAGAAAAAGGAATAAATTTAATACTTAATTTAAAAAGTGGGTATTTTTATTGTTTGTATTTTGCACAGGTCTTTGGAATACAATAATTTCTCAGGAGCACTCCCTTCGCAATTAGGGAATTTAATCAATCTTGAACAAATGTAAGTTTTAATTATGTGTGTGCATGTGTACACGTGTGATTTTATGTCTATATGAATAATAAAAAGTTGATATTACAATATGGGGTGAAAATTAGGTTTGTCTAGTTTTACTCTTTTCATTTGAGGACATCAACTAACTTGAGGTCTCAGAACCTATGAATCCATACTAGAAGTCTAATAATAGTATTGGGGTAGTTATATTCTTAAGCCTAGTAAGAACCATAAAATTCTTGTAAGCTATGCCATTAATTATTATGATGGACGGAAGTTAGTTCTAAAGTACTTAGGTGGCCTTAACTTGCTAAAATGACCAAAATGCCTAGTGAGAAAGGGTTATTTTAAAATACTTAGTCCACTTCATTCACAAACATAGAAAATTCTAAGGTTTAGAGATGTGATTTATGGTACCAATATATGGAGAGTATATGGAGATTATAAATGTTGCAAAATTTTTAGAGGATTTAGAATCTAAAATGTGCAATTCTTTGGGGTGCAATATTTATAACATATAGTACTCTACTATGTGAAAGTAGGTTTTTATTTTATAAAATTGCTTATATATAATATATAAACAATTATATTTGTTTTCTTCTAGGAAGAAGAGAAGAAAGGATGAAGAAGAGAGAAGAAGGAAGAGAAGAGGAAGAGAAGAGAAGGAGAAGAGAGAATGGCTGGTTGGAGCCAAAACTCTTATCTGGCAGCACCCAGCTTTCTATTTATATCAATGAGATAAAAAATAAGAGGGAAAATTACATGCTTGCCCCTGGCAGCACATCCTAATAAAAACAACAATAAAAAAACAGTAAACAAGCTGACAACACCCTAAGACTAACAACACAAAAGACTATAACAACAAAAACAACTAAGAAATCATTCTAACAATACTCCCCCTCAAGTTGGGTTGAATATCTATCATGCCCAACTTGTCACATAGCTCATTATGTCGTAAGTGTGGAAGTCCCTTTGTGAGAACATCAGCCAGCTGCCCCCTGGAGTTAATATATGGCGTGCAGATTTCACCCTCTTCTAATTTCTCTCGTATGAAGTGCTTGTCCACTTCAATGAGTTTTGTCCTGTCGTGTAGGACAGGGTTAGTAGCAATGTTTATGGCTGCCTTATTATCACAGTAGAGAGACATGGGGCTATTAACTGGAAACCCAAGCTCCCCTAGTAAATTCTTTAACCAAAGTGCTTCAGCTACCCCATGGGCCATAGCCCTATACTCAGCTTCAGCACTAGATCTTGCAACCACATTTTATATTTTACTCCTCCATGTCAATAGATTTCCTTCCACAAAAGTGCAGTACCCACTTGTGGTTTTCTTATCATCCACATCACCTGCCCAATCAACATCTGTATAGACTTTCACTTTTAGATGGTTGTGCTTATGAAATAGCAAGCCAGTTCCTGGATACTTCTTTAGGTACCTAAGAATTCTTTCTGCAGCCTCCATATGTGGTATCTTAAGGGAATGCATAAACTGACTTAGAACACCAATCGGATAAAATATGTCCGGGCGTGCCATGGACAAGTAAAGCAATCTTCCCACTAGTCTTTGAAACTGTTTCACATCTTTTAGAGGTTCACCATCACAACCGCCCAATTTATTATCAACATCCATAGAGGTGTCTGCTGGTTTTGCAGCTAGCTTGCTTGTGTCTTGTAGCAAATCTAGGATGTACTTCCTTTGAGAGATGAAGATACCCCTTTTTGAGCGGGCAACCTCAATCCCAAGAAAGTACTTTAGGGGACTCAGATCCTTTACCTCAAATTAGGAAGCCAAGAACTCCTTCAACCTTTATATTTCAGAGCTCCAATTCCCTGTAATAATGATATCATCAACATACACTACCAACACTGCAACTTATTCCTAACACCTCTTAACAAAGAGAGTGTGATTAGACTGAAATTGTTTGAATCCTACCTGCTGAACTGCCATATGAAACTTATTGAACCATGCTTTAGGAGATTGTTTTAGGCCATAGAGAGACTTTCTCAACTAGATCACCATTTAAGAAAGCATTTTTTATATCAAGTTGATGTAATTCCCAGTCAAGATTTGTAGCCAATGATAACAAAACCCGAATTGAATTCATCTTCGTTACAGGGGAAAATGTCTCATCATAATCAATACCATAAACCTAAGTGTACCCTTATGCTACCAGCCTCGCTTTGTATCTTTCTACCATTCCATCAGCCTTGTGTTTTACTATAAACACCCATTTACACCCCACAGGTTGTTTCCCTTTTGGAACATCCATTAACTCCCAAGTGTGATTCTTATGGAGGGCATTAATCTCCTCCTTCATAGCATCTGCCCATTCAAGATAAGTTAGAGCCTCTGCCACATTTTTGGGTATGGGAATACTATCAACAACAGATAAGAATGCACGGTAAGAGGGGGAAATATGGTCATAAGATACATAGTGGGTAATAGGGTGTTTGGTAGTACATGACTTGACTCCCTTTCTATGAGCAATTGGAATGTCAAGATCATCCACAACCGAAATGGGAATAGGGGAATCAATAGGGACAAGGGTGCCTGGTTCATTTGGACTTACCTCCTAGGAGTCTGATGGCGTTGGTTGCTCAATATCCGATAGCTCTACTTCTTTAGAACACTGTTGGTCTTTAAGGCATGTACGCAGGAAGACACGAAATGGAGTTGGATTCGGAATAGAGGGAAGAGAGACTTGGTGAACCTGTTTTTCCTCCTCTATACTACTCTCCCCCTGAGGAGAAGCAGGGTAGAACGGTTCAGACTCGAAGAAGGAAACATCCATAGAGACAAAGTACTTATGACCAATAGGATCAAAACACCGGTACCCCTTTTGAGAGGAGGGATACCCAAGGAAGATATATAGAATAGACCGAGGGTCCAACTTACCACGAGGAGACAAATCATGAACAAAGGCATGACAACCAAACACTCTCATAGGGATGGAAAACAAAGGGGACTGAGGAAACAACAATTGATGGGGGGACTTGTAGTTCAATACTCTAGAGGGCATACAATTGATGACATATGCAGTAGCAAGTACAACATCTACCAAGAAACGTTTCAGCACAGTCATATGTAACATCATCCCTCATGCTACCGCAAGAAGGTGTCCATTCTTTCTTTTAGCAACACCATTTTGTTGTGGTGTTCTTGCACATGAACTCCTGTGAAGGGATCCATGGGAAGCAAAAAATTCATTAAGCTCACCATGGAAATATTCTTTTGTATTATCTGATTGAAAGATCTGAATCTCAACATGAAGTTATGTGAACACCATCCTTTGGAAGTCCCTTATAATCTTTGGGACTTCGTCTCTGGTACACATAGGAAATATCCATGTATAATGGGAAAAGTCATCAATCAATGTGATAAAGTATTTATATCCACCCTTTGAAGTTATAGTAGTAGGCCCCCAGACATCAGAATGCACAATATGGAAAGGGAAATTTTCTCTTTTATTACATAAATGAAAAGTTGTTCTCATTGTTTGCTCAGTTGACACATTTGACATTGAAAATCTGACACCGAACATGACTTAAATAAAAACGGAAACAAACACTTTAATATTTCAAAGGACACATGGCCTAGACGATCATGCCACAAAAAAACTCGACTCTTATTGGACTGACCCAACTATGTGACTCTGAAGATGGCCCAATTGAAGATGACACTAAGAAACCAACCTTGTTGTCGACAGTATAGAGACCATCTACTAAGCTTCCTCTACCAATCGTCCTCCTAGAAGTTAGATCCTGAAAAATACATGAACCAAGAAAAAATGGTTACACTACAATTTAAAGAATTTGTGATACTACTAATGGAAAGCAAATTGATAGGAAGTTTAGGTACATGTAACACATTATTAAGGTCGAGGCCATGGGGAAGAGATATTAATCTCTGGCCTGCAATGGATGAGAATGATCCATATGCAAGCCTCACCTTATGTCTCTTGGACAATAGGCTATAAGACTGGAAAAGATTTGGCTTACCAATCATGTGGTTCGAGGCCCCTGGATCAATAATCCAAGGGGAATCAGTGGTAGTGGAAACATGGAAGGTAGGGGCCGCATTACCTAATGTAGATGCAAATGAAGTAGGAGTACTAGTAACTAAGTTGGCCATTTGACGTAGAGCCCTACTATACAATTCTAGATGATTATGGAATGAGTTCATGATATCCTCCTTAGGGTCAAAACTTGTGGACTATTCCTGTATAGCACCTAGGTTATAGGTAGATAGACCTGTTCATGGGCCGGGTCGGTCTTTCACTAGTTATTAATAGAATCTGATACCTGAGCCCGGCTTGACCGTCAGGCTTGTATTTGGGGCCCGAGCCCGACCCTCATAAAAGCCCGAAGCCTAGGCCCGAGCCCGAAGCCCGACCTATTGTTCCCAAATTGCAACTGTTTTCTTTCTAAATTGTTCCCAAATTTTCTTAAGTTTTGATTTGATCTAAAAGGTTTTGGAAGTTTTGTTTAAGGCCAATAATATGGTGGACTTGGATTGTTTGGGTGGAGGAGGTGGAAGGGTAACAAGTGTGTGTGATCGAGTGAGAAGATCAGGGAAGTTTAAAGGTTGAAGAAAGAAAGTGTGAAAATGGATTTGAAAGAGAGAGAAAAGGCCAAAAGAGGGAAAAGTTGGGTTAGGGTTTTGGGCTAAAAATAAAAATAATTAATATATAAAATATATTATATAATATATACAAATATTTATATATTTTTTATTATATAAAATAAAGTCGGGCCTGGATTTTATGATAAATCCTGAGCCTAGCCCGAAAATAAAGTGGGCTTAGTGTTTTGGGCCCAACTTCAGGCCCGCGGGCCTAAGAATATGCCTAAGCCTAGGCTGGGCCGTTAGGCTACCCGGCCCATGAACAGGTCTACCGGTAGACTGAAAATTTCGAGCTGCCATATTTGCTGCATTGTACTTCTTCTGACCCTACACCTTTTTTTTTGTGTTTTTGATAAGTAGACCCTCCTTACCTTGCTCTTCCTTTTTCATAGCCCACTTCGGTTTTCCAAAGAACTCCCAACATGTGTCACGAGTATGTTTTGAATGCTGACAGTGAGTACACCACAACTTGTCCTTGTTATCAGCTTTCTTGGGATCACTTTTCTTTCCTACATTAGTATCACCTATTGCAGCTAATGCAATCCGCTACTCCCCCTCAGTTGCAACCATTACACTCCGTCTACTTTCCTCAAATTGGACCAAGGCATACACCTCTTGGACTAAAGGCAATTCGCGACTTCCCAAAATCTGAACTCTTAGAGGCTCATACATAGGATTCAATCCCAACAAGAAAGCAAAAACCCGCTGCTGAGATACCAACTTCTTATAAGCTTTGGCATCATTATCATGTTAGACAGTGTATGCCCTTAGCTCCAATCGGATTGATGTACAGATACATTTATTGTAAATGAATAAAAGTACGTAATTGTTTCATGTTATCATTGGTGTGTTTCTGTGTAATTACCGTTTAAACTGGATACTTATGAGACTCGTGTTAGTTTAGAATGTTCTCAGCCGTTGGATAGACTTTGGGAGTTTATCCTACCAAGGCTGACACTAATGTGCTGTCAAAGAAGTTGGGGCAACTTGTCTTAACTGCTAGGGTTAGACCTGAAGCACATGTAGTGTATGTTTGATTGAAGCACTGGACTCAGACCATTTTCCAGTTATGCCCTGGACCTTAGAGACTGATGGGAAAAACTGGAAAGTTACACAACCACTAGACTTGATTATGGTATTGCACTAGGTATCAGATCGAGCTGCCTTTGATATGCCAATCAGTGAGATCCTTTGGGGGTCAAAACTTGGGTATGTTGGGGCAGTCTGAGAATTCATTGAAGTGGGTGATCATAGTGATAGGATTAGCCCCTTTGTCGGACAAAGTGAATGATTGGGACTACACTCTCTCTGATAGAAACCAAAAACTACTAGCAGTGGATTTCAATCGTGTTTGAGATTTGGATTTGCAAAATATATTTATATGATATATATATATATATAATGTTTTAAGAAAAGTGTTTGCAAAAGGTTTTAATTCCCGGGACCCATCCGAGTAGAGAGTGTAACACTGCAAGTTGTAGTCAGGAGAGAGGTCTTTCCCTATCAGGTAGTGTTCGATCATTGTGGGCTGAGAGGTTAAGTGTAAGAGACCATTAAGCTGTCATATGACAAGTAAGGGCTGATTACCTGTCATGTGACATGGGCAAATATGGGTATGGATCTAGGTTTGAAGCACCCATTCTCATAAGAGGATAAGATCTATCTACTGATAGAGTCCAAATCCAAACAAAGATTTTGATCAAACCTCCTAATTCGATTAGGAGTGGTGCTGCTTAAGGATTAAGAGAAAGAGAGATCGAACTGCTTTAGATTACTCTTTGTTTTCGGCTCTCTCTCTTTACTCTTTCCGCCCTAGAAGCCCTAGTTCGATCTCTGATTTTGGGGGCTGATCTTGAGCAGTTCTATCTCTGATTTTTGCAAGAAAAATACAAAGAAAAACTGTGCTCACCTCCCTTGTTCGATCCAAAGAGTTGGATTGCAGTTTTGCTGAACCAACTTCACTCCAAGCTATGCCATTTTCAATGGAAGCTGGTTTTGGGATTTGATTTGGGCGTGAACTACCACTTTGGGAGCTACATTTGTGGATTTCATATCAGGTATACATCTTCCTCTTGTTTGGTTTCAAATCTGTTCCAGTTTCAGTCCAAGATCGATCCTAAAAAAATGCAGTTTTTCTAAAACTGGGAATGCGATTCCCGAAAGGTTGAAAGAAAATTTTTGAAATTTCGCCCAACCAACCAGCATGGTTCAGCCATCCATATGATGGATTTCACTTTCTTTCACATCATTCTTCCATTCTATAGTCTGATAGTGATCCAACTCCTTCCAAACAGAGGTAAGAGTTGGATAATATGGTGACAAACTGCGGCCACCCTGTTTACAGGTTGAGGGTTCAACTTGTTTGTCTTTGCTCGAAATAGGTAGTTTTAGCTTGTTCCCATAGCTCATTTGCAGTCTCTGCCCATATAAAATTCTTCTTTACACTTGGTTCCATGGCTGCAAGTAGCCAAGACATCACCATACTGTTCTCCTGATCCCACCTACCATGTTCAGCTGTCCCACCTTTAGGTTCTTTTACTTTCTCAGTTATGTATCCAGCTTTTCCCCTAGCTGTAACATATAGTTCTACACCTTTAGCCCACTCTAGATAGTTCAAATCATTCAAAGGGGTGATTGGCATCAGAAAAAACATATTCTCAGCATTCGTACCAACTGTACCACGGGTTGATGTAACCCCAGACGAAGCTGAATCTTCAGTTGCTATGTTAGACAGGTTCTACAATTCAAAGAACCACTGATGTACACAGAAATAAGTCTCCACCCTATTTCTACTACCCAACACACACGTAGGGCTCAAAACACACACCAATCTGCCTCCTAGAATGGGACACTTGCTGAAACACCACTACCAGTAACTAAGAGACCCAAAAATTCAGTCTTCAATCACCATTAGGCCACACAAGCCATACACTAAAAGAGGACAGCACATACCTGTCACGAGGGAGCACACAACCCCCTATACAGCACCTGTACGAAGGTGAACGTAACAAGAACACCACCTTCACAGCACCGGCTGTCACCAACTATTCCTTGGTGTTACGACCAAGGAAGAACCCAGAGAAATCACAATCTGAGAGTTCTGACCAGTCCGATTGGGATCTTGCACCTCACAGTAGAAATCAAAAAACTGATGAGAAGAGATGTAATTCTGAGAAAGAGTCCTATTTCACAGAAGTATGCTCTGATACCATGTTTTCTTGTAGGAAGAAAAGAAGAAAGGAAGAAGAAGAGAGAACCCAGAGAAGAAGGAAGAGAAGAGGAAGAGGAGAGAGAATGGCTGTTTGGGAGCCAAAACTCTTAGCTGACGGTGCCCAGCTTTCTATTTATATTAATGAGATAAAGAATAAAAGAGGGAAAATTACATGCTTGCCCCTGGTGGCACACCCTAATAAAAAACAATAATAAAAAAACAGTAAACAAGCTAACAGCACCATAAGACTTACAGCATAAAAGACTATAACAGCAGAAACAACTAAGAAATCATTCTAACAACAATATTCATATATAAATTTTACTCGTGAGCATATTAGAACCTTTCTATATTTGTAAAGGGTATATAATTGATATTTAGTACTGGTGTGGTAATAAATAGCATCTGAAGCAACCAAAGAGGATATATAGTCTAGAGCTGATGATTTTTTTGTTAGGTTGGAAAATGATTATGGATTCGTTAAATCTTGAACCCACTAGTACCATATACAATATACAATTGCTTGCCTTTGATTATATTCTTTTTCATTTTTACAGTTACATAAGCAGTACTGGACTAAGCGGTGAGGTTCCTTCGTCATTTTCTAAGCTATTAAAAGTGAAAACTATGTAAGAAATTATGATTTTTATTAGTTTTGTTTAATATTTTACATTTGATTCCTTTATTATAATAAGAATGGAAATTATTGAACTAACTTTATTTATCTATACGAAACCTATTGGATGTTAGGTGGGCATCAGATAATAAATTTATAGGAAAAATACCTGATTCCATTGGAAATTGGACAAGTTTAGAAAGTTTGTAAGTATGCTATTGCACAACTTTTATCTTTGAATACATTATAATTATATGATCTTTTAAATTGTGTGCTCCTTTTTTCATTATATTTTGTAAAAAGGTATTATATTTATACAGGAGATTTCAAGGAAACTCTTTTGAAGGTCCAATACCATCTAGCTTTTCTTCCTTGACTTCCTTGACTGATTTGTAAGTTCTTGATTTTCGTTTATTTAACAGATTATTACTTATTAAATTATACCGAGTATAATATTTTTTCTTGCAGGAGAATAAGTGAGTTATCTAACACAAGTTCGACATTGGATTTCATTAAAAATATGAAGAACTTAGTTACATTGTAAGAGAATTCACTAAGCAATGAAATAATACTTATAAATATAAGTTTTTTTATTTATATTTACACTCATTAGCTATACTTTCATTTTTTTTGTAGAGTTTTAAGAAATAATATGATTTCTGGTTCCATTCCATCTAATACTGGAGAATACTCAAAATTGGGAAGTTTGTAAGTTAAATCTATTTATAGTAATTTAAAATAATGTATAAGTAAACGAATATAGTTGTTCTAATTTCATCTAGTTCATTGATTTATATAGGGATTTAAGCTTCAACAATTTAACTGGACAAATTCCTAGCTCTTTATTTACTTTGCAAGGACTCAATATCTTGTAAGTAACATATAAGTTTTATTAGTTATTGGATAGCACATCCTGACAACTAATAATATGTGTGTTGAAGTTTGACCTGCCATAGAATTCTGTCTTGTTCGTTGACTGTAGAGTAAAGTAGACAGCAAGAAGTAGGAGAGGAAAGAAGAAAAGAGAGAAGAGAGAAAAGAGAGAAGAGAGAAAAGAGAGAAAGGCTGGTTCGAATTAGGGAAAAAAGTTAAACCCTTGATTCGGCCAGACCTATTATTATATTATTGACTTATTGAAAAAGACTTGAGTGCCCTTCTTTAAGTAAGAGGCACTCGAACTAACATAACAGTACACATCAGCACACTCAACAAGTACAAAGACTGAAATACCCCTTCACTAACACCACTAACAATGTGTTTATCTTATACTTTCTTAAAATTCATAATATTTTCTCTTCACATGGTATTTCTTTCATGCAACAGATTTCTTGGAAATAATAGCTTATTTGGTCCTCTTCCCATGCAAACAGGATCAAATCTTCTTAATATGTATGTTATTATGGTTACTCTATTTTAATGTATGTACTTTTTTTACATGTAACTAAGTCACATAGTCTATATATTTGTAATGCTTTATTCATTTGCATATGTTTTTATGCAGAGATTTATCATACAATGAACTATCAGGAAGCTTTCCTCCTTGGGTGACAAATCAAAATATACATGTGTATGTTTAAATAGAAAATATTGTATCAATCATTTCTTTTTATTATAGTTCACAAAAATAGTTTTATAGAGTTCTCATAAAAATGTTTTCTTTGTTATCGTTTATCTCTAAATATTGCTCAAAATGGAGAGGTAATCACCTGGAACTTTACTACCTTTCAAAAAACCTATACAAGGGACGTAAATATTTTACCTTTGCAAAACTTTGGTTAAAAGGTCAACCAAACTAATTATGTTATTCAACATAACAAAGAGCTTAGAAACAATAAGATTAAGAATCTCTAGATTATACTATTTCACACTTTGTGCAATTTAAGGTGAGGTCCATGTGATCACACTTAGAATAATTCCAAATGAAGTTTGATAAGGCCCGACTTTTAGTTAGTTACATTAAATCATGCAAATAAGCCAAGTATGGGTCTATTTTTAACAAGAAATATGGATCTACAAACTTCTTATTTTTCATGATTTGATTTGTCACTTTTATCTTTAGTTTCCTATTATAATTTGTATGCAATATGCCATTATATATTGATTTAAGTAAAATTGATATAGTTCAATGTTACCATGATTTGAGAAAGGTGAGTGCTACTCTTTTACTACCAATCTCTTAAAAAATCTTTATGCTATCTCTAGAATGGAAGATGGAGAGGAGAGAGAAATAGAGCAGAGAAGAGAAGATAGTTTGCTGAAAGATAATGGGGGTGGCACCCCACTTGACTTTTATATTAGGGAGTTCAAATAAAAGGAGGATATTACAAGTATACCCCTGATTACAACTTAACAGAAAAGATACATAAAACAGGCCCACTAACAGCCCCCTACAGCCCATTATAGACCTAATAACATTCCTAACAACATTCTCCCTCAAGTTGGGCTGTATATATCTATCATTCCCAACTTGGTACATATATCGATATGGTGGGTACTAGAAACACCCTTGGTGAAAATGTCACCCAACTGATCCATAGAATTTACATAAGGAATGCAGACTTCACTAGCTTCAAGTTTCTCACGAATGAAATGTTTGTTGACTTTGATATGTTTTGTTCTTTCATGCATCAAAAGATTGTGGGATATATTGATTGCTGCCTTGTTGTCACAATACAATGACATTAGGTTGTGGACTTCAACTCCCAGCTCCTTTAACATATTCTTAAACCACAAAATTTCTGCAACAAAATGTGCCATGACCCTATATTTTGCTTCTACACATGACCTAGCAACCACCGTTTGTTTCTTGCTTCTCGAGGTTGCTGAATTTCCTCCAACAAAGGTTCAATAACCTGCAGTAGATCTCCTATCGTCAACTGAGCCAGCCCAATCTGCATCAATGAAGACTTCTACCTTCAAGTGGCCATGCTTGGAAAAGAGGATACCTTTACCAGGAAATCTTTTCAAGTACTTCAGAACATTCTCTACAGCGACAAGATGAGTAGTCTTAGGGGCATGCATACAGTCATACACCAGCTCAACACCCCAACAACATAAGCAATGTTTGGTCTAGTCATGTATAAGTACAACAATCTCCCAATAAGCCTCCAGAACTACCTTACATTAGAGAGAGGCTCACCACCTTCTTCACCAAGCTTATGATTACTATCAATTAGAGTATTTGCAGGTTTGATTGACTCCAACCTTACTAGTGTTCTACAGAAGATCTAGAATGTACTTCCTTTGAGAAATAAAGATGCTTTTGTCTAATCTCACAAATTTAATTCCTATGAAGTGCCTAAAAAGGCCCAGATCTCTGGTATCAAACTGAGCCCCCACAAATCTCTTTAACTTCTTTATCTCTAACTCCCAATTTTTCGTAATGACAATGTCATCCACACAAACTATAAGAATTGTCACCTGATACCCTTCCCATCTTAACAAAGAGAGTTTGATCACTTTGACACTGGAAACCAACCTGCTTGACTGCATTATTAAATCTATCAAACCAAGCCCTTGGAGACTGCTTCAAACCATTGGTAAACTTTGCCTTCTGTTTCCTCTGAAGCAAAACTTGGAGGCTGGACCAGTGATTTAAAAGGCGCGCCTAGGTGCACAGGCGAGGCGCATCCCTAGGTCCTAGGTGCAGCCCTTTCAAAAGGGCACAATGCGCCTTGTGCCTCAGCCCAGGCGTGCGCCTTTTGAAAATTTGACGCTTTTTTTGCTTTTTTTGAACATAGCGGCTGGGCCGGGGCCGACCCCCGTGCCATGCCCCAATTTGGTAATGTTGTTCATTCATTCATCCTAATAAAATGTCTTCTTAAAAAGCAATTAAAACTATAAAATCATTATTTTTTGTGTGAAAACTAAGAATTTAAGACCTAACGTGGACTTGTTTGGGCTTGCCTCGAGGGGCATGGCACAAAGGTGGCTCATAGAATCAGGAATGTAATATGTTTTACATTACATTAGCTACTTGAAGTAATGCAATTAAGTGAAAAAAGAGATTAGAGGTTTTACATGCTTGAAAATGTTTTATATGTTTGATTTTATTTTTAGATTCTCATTTGAATATGCTTTATATCTTAAGTTTATGTATTTTAATTTTAGAAAATAGGTTTTTTAAAACATTTATTTTAAAACTTAAGTTTATATTTTTTATTAATTTTATGTTTAATATTTTTTTTTTATTTTTTTGAACTTTTTGGCATTTTTATTAATTTTATGACACTTTTTTTTAGCAATTTTTTTTTGTATTTTTGTGCCTTGCTTCAAAAAAGGCGCAACCTCTACGAGACCATAAACTTCCCTTTGTTTATGGAAAACATAAAAAATTGTAGACAATTTTTTTAATAGTTCTACATTGCATCTATATGCATTTATGGACATTAACTCGGTGAGGTGGAAATGAATTAGTCAAAGAAATCATAAACTTCCCTTTGTTTATGGAAAACATAAAATAGAGATCTTTATGTATTTTCTTACATACCAAGGGCTTTTTAACATTCAATTTAAGATATCCTAACCCATGATGATATATCAGAATCTAATGGGTAGTTCAAATATTTTGGCTATAAATCCCAATATGATAATATATATTTCATATGATAATTATACATTTCACATAATTTTCTACTTATTTGTTGATGTTATTTATATTTTTATCAGTGCATATGAAATTAATAATAGTTTCCTTTCTTTGTTGTATGAAATGTGCAGGAATTTGATAGGCAATAACTTTACATTTGATAAATCAAACCTTAGGTGAGTTAATGTATATTTATAGCATCTAAAAGAATTTTTGTTGTTGCAATACAAATATATCACCACACTAGATCCACTGTTTTGTCATTCATAAGTCTACATTATCCCATTGATTCTAAGATTATTTTTATTCTTTTTAAAGTAATTAATATATTACCTAATCAAGGCATATCTATTTTTTTCTTGTTCATCATCTAAATTGAGGTTTGGGTTATCTTACTGATTTTGGGAGTATTTCCATTATTTATATAGTAATTTTAAAGGGCTAGGATGTCTCCAGCGGAACTTCCCATGCAATAGGGGTACACCACGTTGTAAGTAACAGTTTTTTATATTATATGAATTATTTAACTTGCAGATGATATAAACCTCCTTTAATATCTAACAGAAACAACTAAAATAAATTCTAGCCATCTTGAAAAGTTAAATGCATCAAACCTTTGTTGTAATTGACTTTGGATTAACCAATGCATTCATATAAAATAACTTTTGAGAACTTCAAAAGTTTAACTAAATTGTTTTTGCATTTGAGTGATTCTTGCAATCAGAAGTAATATAGGTAAATATATGATGCTGAAAAGACATGATACCTGAAGATTTTTGACCAATCAAATCCCCCTGTAAATTTTGATGAACACTGCCTGATTGGTTACAACCTTTATGAGACCAGTTAATTGGTTTTAAGTTTATTTGGTATCATGCCTTTGCGGTATCATTGTCAAACCCATATTATTTAATGAATATACTCAATTAGATTACATCGATCTTCTAACACCCGAACAATTTAGAGTTGTTCAAATGATTAAAATTTGACCACTCCATCTAGTGACAACTATGAATTTGTTAATCATGTAAGGAAATGTGTTATTAGATCTCCTATGATGAGTCCTACTCAACACTGTCCTAAACACCATTAAAAACTTTAGTCACACAATAAGCATAATTGTATAAGAATAGCCCATGGCGAAAAAAGGCCATTACCCAATGTTGGTCCTAGCTATTTGAGGTCTTGGGAGAGGTAGATTGGATGCAGTCCTAAGCTTCTTTGGCATCTTTTGCACAAAATGAGAATGTTATTTTTAATGATAGAGGAAATAACCAAATTATATAACGAACTTTCTTAGCCAAATAATCTCCTTTGGTACTTCACAAGTTACAAAATACTCTATATTTCATGATATTCTATTGTTTAACACTACTCTAACATATTAGTAGAAACCACTATCTGCTGATTCGGTCAAGCTTCTTGTGAAAGGAAGAGGTGAAAGTTGTAGATTTCAGCAATAGAAAGAGAAAGGGGAAGAAAGGAGAAGAAGGTCAACTAGGACTGTGTGTCATAACCCTAGCCGCCAGCCTCTCATTCTATTTATATTTAACTTAAATATGAGATATTACAAAGATGCCCTTAGTAGTGCGGCAACTCAAACTTAATAGTTACAACCCTTTTAAAAAATAAAAGCTAATGGGCCCAAGGCCCAACAACTTCTTAATTTAAAAGAAAATAAACTAAACACAAATCGGTGGCCCCACTCAACACTCCCCCTCAAGTTGGGAGTAGATGTCACACATCCCCAACTTGCGTAGATCATGCTCCAGCTTATTCTTTGCAATGCCTTTTGTGAGAACATCAACAAGCTATAGATCAGAAGAAATGTATGGAAGACAAATTTCTCCAGAAGTTGCCCTTTCTCTGATAAAATGTCTATCTACTTCAATGTGCTTAGTTCGGTCATGTTGGACTGGATTATGGGCAATATTAATTGCTGCCTGGTTATCGCAATATAGCATCATAGGTTCTTCTGCCTGTACACCGATTTCTTCTAACAGAGAATGGATCCAGAGAAGTTATGAAACTCCATGTGCCATGGCCCTATATTCGGCTTCTGCACTTGATCTTGC